CGAAAATCAGAAAAAAGTGATCTTTTTGAGTGGCTTTTATTTTGTGAAGTACGGTATAATGATTCTGGGATGAAGAATCATTCAGGACTTCAGCCAAGAGAGAGAGAGTGTGACGAGTCCCGTTGCGGTTTGATACACCTGTGGCTTAAAATGTGTCATCGAAAGAATGACTGTGAGATGTTAACAGAGCGACCAAAGCTTATTTAAGCTGAATATGTACCTCTAGCAAATATTGTAACTATGTATTAAATTTTCTTGGCTGCTATGTATTAATTTTTTTGACTGTGACGGCTCAATTTATTCTCCATGAGCAATTTTTAAAATATAAAACAGCTGGATTTCTTTACTATCTGTAAGGTTCCTATACTTCCTTTGATTCCATGACAAAACTTCTGAAAAGTGAAAGTACACCTTTTAATGCGATCTCACGCAAATCCTACTTCCTAATCGGTATATTGTACTCGACAAAACGTTTGTTGACTAAAGCGATGGCAAATCCGCCCAGGGAGTCTCACAAGAACTTTAGCTGTGCTAGGTGAGGCACTGCATCTCAGGCATCGCTAAAAGCAGTCTGCACATTTTGTGCAGCAGTCGTAAAACAAATTCCGCGCAGATAATAGTTGAGTTTACGAGTTAAACGCAGAGATCAAGAGCGAAACTAGAAGTATTATCACTTCTCTTATAGTGACCTATAACTTATCAAAATTGAAATTCATGTATCTGTATTGATATTGACAATTGTAAAACCCTATACAATACATTTCGTCAGGCTCCATGCGAGTCCCGTAACTCCATTCGGACCAGTGCCCGTACAAATGATGCTAATTTAATTTATTTAGGTACTTTTGAATTTAGCTAAGTCCGCAGTGCAATAGTGAAAACAGTGTAATTTGAACATACATCCATAAAGTACAGGCATTACAATCGATTCGTCTTTTCAGGCCTTGAGCAAAATTGAGCGCTTAACGAGCACCCACTGCCTCAAAGGCTTGTCTCCCCCATTCCACCTACCGGTGTCTGCTTCAGCGAGCGTAAGGTGGGCGTCTTCCCTGTAGTGTGCTCATCGACAGAACGGGTCCATGAATACTAAGAAAAGCGCGGTAACCGCGGCGGACAACCTACGAGCCATATTTGATGAGGCAGCCGAGATGGTGTCTTCCAATGAAAGCGGTCATATCGACTTATTGACTAGCAACCCAGCACTTTTGTCTTCACCAAGAGACGGATGGCAAAGCCAAGCCCCGTCTACGGAAGCTTCTGAGGTTAAGGCGCTCTCTACCTTTAACTTACCTCTGCACAACGTGTGCACTCTACGTTCGTTTCTTAGGGTAGAGGCTGTTACACGAAGCTCACAACTAAGTCCAAATCGTTACCCATGAGCTGAATGTGGGTCCTAGGTCCGAGCTCGCCCGTCTGCAAGCACAATATTCGCTGTAGATTAAGTTCGATCGGGATTGATATTGTTAATCCATCAAAAATTGCACGGCTGTAAAGTTTCTGTGTGTAGCCCTTCCGCACATAGAAATACATAAATGAGCAAACAAAACTGCGTTGAGCTCACGAAAAAACAAGTTGAACTTGGAATTGACAAGGTGGAAAATAAATAAACAAATAATGCAACATTGGCACTGTATAGCGCGCTTTCTAACCCAGCAAGTCGCCACTACTCAGGAGTACCACCAGCACATAGGGCACCAGGCTCTGTCAAAAATGTCATGACTTGATGAGTGCACTGGGTTAAGTAGGCAGATTGACTCGACTGTGTTACTGATCCAGCTTTAAGGAAGCAGACGTCCGACCAAAGCTTCGATCAATGCTTGGCTCTACGAAGTACAACGCGCAAAGTTGCTCGCCCCACATTTGGTTTTTGCTGGGAACAACTTTCTTTGGCTCGATAATCCTGCTGATATACCAGCCACTAGAGCGTGATCAGACCCCACTCACTCGTGAAAAGGCGCACAGCGCGAGCTTGTATCGCCTCCCGGGGTCGTGAAACGGTGAGTACACCAAACCGTAAGCGGCAATTTTGCTAGGACAACACTGCAAAAATAGGACATCAAACTCGCCTCAACTTCTGAAATGGAGCATCTCTTCGACATCACTAAATGAAATTGGCTCATCCCTGATTAACGCAGCGGCCTGATCTCCATTCCGCATCGAGGTGGGCGATTGAGAAATTATTTCGTCTTGTTTAGGTCGCTTTCCACCCGAATGGATTGTAAATACAAGGTCGAATTGCTGTTTTCTTTGAGATTTCGAGAATGTAACTCAATATGTCTTGCTGTTTCTGTAAGCAATTGTTTTTGGTGTAATGTAGCGAAATCACAAATTTGACTTATTTGAGTGCAGACAATGCATGTGAAGGTAATACTAGACTACATTTTATAAAATCTATTCAACCACCACATATTTATGCGCTCTCTCTTTTTCTCTCTTTCTCATATATAGCATCTGCGTGTTGCTTTCACACATTCTACCACTGAGTCAAAGGGTCGTACAATCGGTGCACGGGTTTCAAGACCCTCCCATGAAGACCGAAATCACTTGTTGCGCTGTCAAGAAAGCTCGTTTCTGATAAATGTATAGGCGTGTACTGCGCTTTCCAGCACAAATTGGGCATTTTGCTGAAGAGCCGCGGTCGTATCAAGAATATCCTTTGAGCGAAAACCTCTTCCAAGCGCGTACCTGTGCCTGCCTGACCATCGGATTGTGGACATCAAAGGCCAAGTGTATTACAGAGTGTTCGCCTGTAATACGCTGTACAGCACGGGTCATTGTTCAAAAATATTACAACCTGCAAGCTTGGTTGCAAACGTTTAATCAATAAAAGCTTGTCTCTATTTCCACCGCCAGCAGTGCCACTGAGATAAAAAAAATTGGCCAGACGGCCAACAAAGATCAAATACCACGCTGCTGGTGTTACTGGACGCGTCTTTAAAGTGCCCCATCAGTGGGTTATCACATTGAGCTGGAAACAGTACGCCGACACATACTGCGAGGAACTAACTCCTGAACAATTTCCTCTCGTGCGAACCTGAGTGGTCGACATTCTTAATATTGAACCACCAGTAAGTTCAAGAACTGCTTGCAGGTGTTTGATATAGGTGTCCACAACGGAATCTCTGCACAACTATGGTAAAATATGTTGTCAAATCGGCTTGTGTAGAGACCTAGTCTAGAATGATAGCTGCGTCACCCGACGGTTGAGCGTTACGGGGGCGTTCAAAAGTCTCGAAAAATTATCCAGCCTTCCCGCTCGGAGTACTCAGTGCATTGGGAGGGATTTTGCTATCGCTAGTGAGCAGCTGGAAAAAGCGTCAGCTATATCAAAAGCACTGGACACGGACCAACCGACTCAGCTGTTCTTCATCACAACTTTTCTCAAAAAATGCGAATATAGCTTCTACATTTGGCTTACTATAAACATGCACAATTCTATACCGAAAGACTTTCGAGCACATCAAGTTGGATACAAATGGGTAGAATAACCGCTTCTCACCAAATCCGCTTCGCGTTTTGTACGGAAGAAAGCGGCTATGAAGTCAAACATAATAACCATTGTCGTGGAAGCAATATTTACGAATACTTATAACGTTGACTTGGTTCCAGGAACCAGGTCAAGTCATGACGCATTTCTTATTTTGTAGAACTACTCGTGTACTCTCGTGACCATGTTGTGATATCCCCCGAACAAAGGATGAGCGCGGTCCGTAGATACTTGTCATACTCTTCTCACCATGACCTCTGTCAACAACCAACTAACTTATGACGATATATCAGCTTCATCGTTTCCCTTGTATAAGCATCCCGTAAATTTACTCTACTATATTGCAGCTCTTTCCAACCATTCCCTAATGAGAGCTCATCAAAATCTGCTCGGGCTGGTGGGGAGGAGTTTGGAAACCCAGTCTTCCCCGATCAAATCATGTAAATCTAGTTTTGCCAATACTCATGTAGCTCCAATATTCTGCATGGCGGGTATCATACGGTATTGCTGACTCACAAGTGTCGTTATATCATATTAAGATCGGATCATTTCCAATATCTTGCATGCCTGAATCTTCTGTTTACGCCTCACAGTCGTCAGCGGCTCTAACGCAGGGCATGTTGACTTACGGATGTAGCCAGCGTCACGCCGGGTACGCACTATGGGGCCATCACTTATTCCTGTCTACACAGATATATACTATAAAGAACGCGATATCCGATCAACTTCTCCCGTCATATCTGTTTCTATGGCTTACGACAGCTTCTGCTTCCGATGGCTGTACAAGGCACTCAGTAATACCGGTGTCCTTCAAATCGGACGATCTCAATTACAGCACAGTAGATACCGCAGCTTGATCCCGCGTCAAAAGCGCTTTCGCGGTCAAGCAGAGAGGTAGTGTTCCGCATGTGTGTTCGTGGATCTCAACTTTTTGACTTTCAGTCGAGCCGTTGCCTATGAAGGCTCAATCTCGACATGAATATCATGCGGTTGTGGATCGAATTTAGGTTTCGGAGCTGACAACAGCCCACGCTGTATAAGTATTCGAAATATAAAAATGGGAAGTTTAAGATAACCTTTGATACCTCAAGCAATTCCCATTGCAAGACGCACAATTATGGTTTCTATACTTAGCATACTCGACACCTCCGCTGTTAACTGTTTCCTAAAGTCGACGGGTACGTAATTACAAGGCGCCCTAGATTTGATCAGGACTTTTCATAATTCTAGAGTCCCAGAAGAGCTAGTGACGCTGGGGATTTGACCACAACAAAAAAAACATTAAGAAAGTTGCTTTCTGAAGTGCTTGGTTCATGTGAGCCTCAACCTCCACAGGTATATCAAACCCCAATTCTCCCCTAATTGTCCATCCTACGCCTCAGAAGACTCGACTCTTCCTTGCAAAGGGTTTGTAGTCTGAACCTGCGTAGGAGAATGCACACTTTAATTAGGAGAGACGAAAGTTGCCTCCTTAAATGCTAGGGCTCGTTAACCCCCAACTTCCACAGATATATAAACCACGATTCTCCCCTGGTAGTTCGACTCCTCCTCGCAAAGGTATGTAGGTCGAACCTGATCGTTAATGATTGTCCACCATAATATTTGTACGAGCTTTTGCGTGATCCTCGCACCCTGTACCTGTTTCTACATCGGAGAGCCCTATTACGGGGATGACTACGTGGATGACTACAAAGTCGGAAAATTATAAGATTAATGTGCTCAACGAGCTCAACTCGCTCACCAAAAACCAGAAGAGTCACATTGACCTTCAATAAGCTCGCTAACGACTACTGCACGTAATTATTATGGCTCTGATGTAATCAGCTCATTGGAAATATCTCGTAGATCTTATAAACTTATATGCATGCTGTGACGCCCACAGCGACATTTTACGCTTACCGTACTATTTTGAAATCGCGGTGTTTGTCGCATCAATTGCCAAAAACTATATTTGAACTTTGTTTGCCGAGTGAAGTTCACTGATAGCTAGCAACCTGACGAGCCATTTTGCTACTAAACTCATCGTGGTATCGCGAGAATTTCATTCTTGACAATATCAAATATGTACAGCTTGCAAATTCCGCTCTCCTGGTTAAAATGTGCATCGGGTAAATCTCCCACTGAAGAGGATCGTCGAGGCCGTGTTCTCAGTTGAGAATAAAATGATAGAACTCAGTGTGTCACTTTGACTATACGTCTTTGACAACATTTTCTTGCTCGATAACACTTTGCTTGCGCGGGCCAACTACATTAATCTTTGTGGTTTGTCAAGGAATGCGCTATAATATACCTATACGGGAAACTCTCAGGTCAAAGGATTCGTGTAGGGCTTCCACCTAAGTGCGCTTGCTAGGCTTCGAGACAAGACTTAAGGTTAATGACCTATTAGAGTACATTGATGATCAGAAGCCCGTAATTAATGAGCGTGACGAAGCTTCGTGATTAGTTTTAGATACAATATTGAAGTCATGGTACTGACACGTGGGATTGGCCTGCCCAACTACCCGCACAATATAGTGACAATGACGCTGATATGGAAGGCCCCTCAACAATCTTCTTTAGCAATATGTCGAATGGTGTTGGAGTGGAATGTGGTTCTTAGGCTTTGATAAAAACGCCCTATAGTTTTCGATCAGGGCTCCGACTCAGTCAAGGTCGTATAATCTCGTCTGTGCTCTTTACCTCAGACTGTGCTTTGCTTCAAACAGAAGTTAATCGGCAAGAACGCGTCATTACGTTACTATATCGACTATAAGAAGAAGCTAATGTAATATCATGCGCTCTTGTCAAGCTCGAGGTGCGCTTAGGCGGTTCGAAGCTCAAGCGTCGATCTGCACGGCGACATCGCCGCCATATCGCGCCTAGAGTGGCGAGATGGTTACTTTTCTATCCCTATTCACGTTTGACATTGGCTTCATACCAAGGTAAGTGCGCCATTGCGTCACCTGACTAAAGCGGGCGTATGTCACAGTGCAATTTCGAGCACCGATCAGGCGATCCATTCGGCGTATTGACAAGATGCAACATGAGATGCAAATTTTGCATCTCATGTTGCACAACGCGATTTGATAGTACACATTATCTTGATTTTTGCTATCAGCAGCTTTGCTCATCTCCATGATTTTGCTCATTGAGCCACCTGCTGATTCTCAAACTCAGAAACAAGGCAGGTCTCCACTTCTTAATGGGAAGCGCGTTCCTCGGGGTGACCATGTCGCTTCTCATGGAGAGGTAAAAAGAGGTGATGATCCAAGACGAAAGTGGAAATAAAGCCAGGTCTATTTAACTTCTTACTACGATACGCTTAATAAATGAGGGTACTATCAACACCTCACCAGGAATATTTATGCCCTATGTGAGTAACGTCAACACATTACCTGCTCCGTATTGAACTGGATAGTCGAGCTGAGCTGAGCCGGCGCGGATTGACATTTTATGACTGATTGTAGTGGGCTGTTTATTGTGGCGGTGCGTTGATATATATGTAGGAGCCTCTTCGCGCAGCAAATACGGACATGGATTCTGTGCGATTGCGCCTGCTGAGCGGCGCAATCGAATTGATTAAGTTGAGGCGTCTTGCAAGATGAATCATATTGCTAAAACGGTGCGTAAAGATCACAATGCCGGTAGCACCGGAGGGGTTATATATCAGACCACCAAAAAAAAATCATGCAGATAAATCACCATCACTTTGCCGAGTTAAAAAAAATTGTTGAAGCACAGCGAGATTTTTTTAACATAGCACGGTAACACTAAACTTGGAAAATTTACTACAGCAAGCCTTGTCGTATCGGAAATGCGCTATTTATTTGAGAGATTGAAAGAGTCCTACGCAGTGGTTACCAACAACCCTTTCACCGAAAGTCATCAAGTTCTCGTGTGTGTGTAGAGCTTCCGGTACTATAGTAGCTCGTGGGTGCTAAAATCAAAGGACTTGACTGAAATGCGACTCTTTTTACACGAAGGGGGCATCACAACCTAGATTTTGCTGGCGATCTAATTCTAAGCGGCTTGAATGGGCACACATGAGGTTACCTTTTATAACTCTGAGAACCACTGCTTCAGTTGCGTTTCAACTGTACTTGGCATTGTAATTGATGATGTTAATTGATAGACAAGCCGTACCAACTTGAAATGCATGGGATCAACACACAAACCGAGCAATTTTATTAAACTCTTCTCTATAGTGGCGATGTTCAATCCACAAATCTCCCGATCGTTCGCACGAGCCACAAGAATGTTTTTTTAATGAAGCCATTTAGAAATGGAACACCGTCGGTACTAATATCCTATTTGTCTGTGTTGACAATCAGCATTTTCATGCGCATATACTTGAACACTGCTTTCAAGGGTTTTATATGAATAGCAACATTCAATTCTCCGTGCTGTGCAATATTGGACTAAAATTGTAGAGTCGAGGTTGCGCAATACAACGACACAGCATCATCATTTAAGTCACCATACAAATAAACGCGTTCAAACAAATATAATTTATCTCAGATCATTCCGCTCGGATATTGCCTCACACAACCTATTGGTAATTCTCTTAGACTAGGTCAAGAGCACTGAGCAAGGTTAACCGAGCACAGTGTTCGACAGCGAGCAGTTTTCGAGAAGTCAAAATTTGCGTCAGAATGGTCCTATGAGCATGCACAAATCGCCAATTGTCGCAAGCTATTTTTATGCAAAAAGTCGTCGCCGAATGGGAAGTTTTCTTACTCGATAGCCGCATACTCCTCACACCCAGATGCTCCGCGAGGGACTGACGGATGATGAACCCATCTTCCCTTTGGCTCGACAACTTGGTGTCTACGTCGATTTGCAATTTCTCGCGCACCTTAGGATTGAAGCTGCGGAGCTTTGTCGCGGGGGCTGAAGAGTAATTGAGATTTTAGGACAACCCGGTCACTTAAATTATGAAATCATTTGATTGCTATAAAAACATGGAGCTTCACTACTCAGCACGGTCAGTGTTGCTGATTTGGCTAAGCTTTTCATCGCGTTAGTGATGAAGAATCTTTATAACATCAGGGCCTGGTGCTTTGATGACGACAGCAACATAGACACTGAATGTAAATGTTTGGTGTTCCACAGACACTACATCTAAGTGTACCACAATACGGCTCGGTGGTGCTGATATAATACTTTCCTGCCTTGGTTTGGCTGAGGTTTATATTGGTTGTCTCGCTCGTTGAAATTTTGCATCCCCGCGCCAATTGTCCTTCGCGGCATAGAAGGTGAGACCATATTCAATGCAATAATCATCGTTTCTTTGTAAGAAATTGGGATAGACGTAGGAGATATTGGTGCGAGTCACATCTATTTAGAGACCATTTATAGTATGATTGCTGTTACCGTTTTCGGAGAGGATGGGCCACTATGTAATTATTAAGCTCGTAGCTCTTGGACGTAGTTCGTCTATTCTCTTCGCCTTGACGGCTGGACAAACAATTCGGTTGCACGCTCTACTCCTGACTAGACGATACAAACGCTCGCGAATTGTTCGCTCAGGCACTTCGCAACTTTAAAAAAATCTTATTTACAGCGGTAGGGCATGTAAGCGCTTAGTTTTGCAAGCAGCTTCTGGACGCTAGCGCGACACGCTGTTGCTTTGTTTAAAGTAGAGCCGACTTCATGGCCATCTCAGCCTCGCTAACCCACAGAGAAGGATAACTTTGACATTACCCGCAAATTTCTTGATGCTCAAAAAATTGACCGTACTTTAGGAGTGAAAAAACTCTTTTTGAGGTGAATCATTAGCACATTTGATAGCTGTTAAACTCCTCCAGAGGAGGTATAAGCTCTTCTAGAACTTGGATTGTCGTTTTTGCTACAGCCACAGACTAAAAAACCAAAACACGATATGAATGCCCCGTTATCCTATGGACAAAGAGCTAATCATATAATGTTCTATCCGCGCAGAAGATACAATCTCATGCAGATTCTGTCGTCGGATCGATGACTAGTGCTTCGACGGGATTACCATGCACCTCACACAAGGAAAGCTTTGTTATTTGGGTCCGCATCAGGGAACGCAGAGACGTCCCACCGCGCACTAGACCGAAAGATTAATAAGTACAAAAGCTCCTTTGGTTCTGAACTCACCAGTGACGTTTCACAAATTGAGTCCTGAATATATCGATACGGTGCTTATAGAAAAATTTGGTTCGCAAGCAGCATGAGGCTAGCAGCTCACGAGTACCACCGTTCTTTCCTTTCGAGAGTATTATACCCTCGTCCGTAACGAGTATTACTCATGATACTTCATCGTGGTATTCCACCTCTTTGCTATAGTCACGAGGGATAAAAGTGTCTTGGATATGTACCCTGTAACACCTGTAGCTCTAGCTACGTTTGTAGTTTCGTTTTCTTGCTTCTTCGTTCCCACAGAACTGGCTCCAGGCTTGTTATTCTACATTTACATCCCTTACGTTCCTTCTGCATAGTTTCAGCTACTAGATGCACACTCATCTCTTCTTAATTCTCAGCTAATGATTACAAGTATTGAACACCACTGCTTTCGCAGCTCTGGATTAAATCAAATAAAAGTGTAATTAGAAAGGATAACACTATGCTTACTGCAATTGCTTTAACCCAGATGATAAATTTACTCCAACCATTTCATTGGTGGAATACTTGTCTTTTCCCGCGCCTTTTGACGCGCCAAATTTAAATCCGCGTCTCTTGAATTGTGACCCCAGACGATTGCGTGACCCCATCGCTGCTCTTGGGTGTCGATCATGATCAAGTCCAATATCAAATGCACGAAAAATGGCAATGCAGAGCATGGAATACAAGTGACGAACCGAAGACAAACCGAAGTGACGCAGCCAGAGCAGGAACCGGAGCTACTGGTGGAACTGCAGCAAATGCAAACTCCAAATCATGATGATGCATTCAATAATGTTTCCTGCGATGTATTATCACATGAAAGTGATTGCGATTATTTACCGATGAATTCCACCATGACTTTCTTGACGCCGTCTCCTTATCGACGCGACTTAGCAAATCCTACAGTGGACATGGCAATGGCTAGACCAACAATTACCTCGGCAAAGTGCACACATTCCAAGATGCCAGAATTGAGTTTGAAATCTTCTGGTCTAATGACTCCGCATCCACCAGAAACGTTCAATCTAATCAATCAAGAGACGGAAGCTGTCACAAGTTACAAAGAGAAACATAAATTACCGCCGAGAAAGACTGCGACTTTAGCAACGTCTCCACAATCTTTATCTCCATTCAAAAAGCAGCAGCTTCTTGCCCGACCACTGATGGAAGATTTTGAGCGTTCTGGAGAAAATGAAAGCTGTACAACTGGTCAAGAAGTTATAGAGTCACCAATTATCAGTGACAAGCAGGTGGCGACTTGTTCTTCACTTCTTAATGCTGAAGATATTCAGTGCGTACCTAGCGGTCGTGTGACAAGTCCAAGTGAACATGATTCTTTTTTTTCTTTCGCTAGCTCATTTTCACCATTATTGCCAATTGACGAGTTTGATAACAATTTCATGTCCGTCAAACTTTCGCCTCTTGTGGCTCTTTCTTCGTACGTCTTTCCAAGATTGTACGTTATGATTATTGTAATGATAGTAACAAGCTGTATCATCATTCGTATATTCCATACAGACTTCCACCATCATTAGAGCGAGAGCAACACTTGCCAGCGTCAATCACCGGCACCCGTGATGGCATTTCTATAAATCCTAGGACTCACAACAAAATAGCAAACAGTGATCAATCTACTGGTGGTGGCACCGATTCGATATCGTGTTCAGCTGATGGTCTGGCTTCTTATGAACTTTTCCGCAACTCGTTTCCAAATATTCAGGCGTTGACAAGCACGACGCCGGGAAAAGAAGAACGATTAAAGCTAAACAACAACAGTGTCATGAAAATGAAGCTCCACACATCCTTCGCGTCTTCTCCTACACTGCTTGACTTGCATTCTACTCGTGAATTCCAAGCCATAAACAACAATTTGTACGTCTGGATCATGGAAGATACTTGAGAGAATGGTACTGAGTCTTGCTGTGTTTCGGCTTGGACAGAAAACGGAAAAAGTGTATTCGCCGGCGTAAAGCAGATGACTCGAAACTTCACAACGTTCAGCGTAAATTACTACCAACTCCAGTAAAGATTGCAGCAAAGCATCGTTCGACTCGATCGCCGCTACAGCCTTGGAATGGGCAAACACGTGACGCTCACCAGTTTAAGACACCCACACCTCGGAAGTCAACAACTTGTCAAAAGGTGACGCGGTCATCACCCGTTGTGTGCAAATTGAGTCCGGCGACCGAGCCAGATACTCCCTTGACGAATCCAGCTAACACCATAAATAAGCGGAGAGGAGCACAGTGCGTCTCCATGCCTGTTTCGAAGATCAGCCGATCAGCATATAACACGCGGCGGTTGCCACTAAAAGTTGAGCTGGCAATAGCACCATCTAGCACACCAAACAAGCAAAGGAAACGGCGAGAAATACCAATAGCTACGACTAGGTACACTCCGTCACCACCGTGTACCACGATTGATAGTGACATGTCTACCTTTAAAAACTCTCTGCATCAAACGCCGACTCTTATCGAAGTCTCGACTGCATTACACCTGTCCGAATCTAAAGCGTCACTTGGCTCTACTGTCAAGACGGTCCCGGCACAAGCGCAAATTAAGGCCCCGTGCAATTGCAAAAAGTCCAAGTGTCTAAAGCTTTACTGTGAATGTTTTGCCAGTGGTGGCTATTGTAACGCAAGCTGCAAATGTCTGGATTGTGCAAACATCTCTATCAAGGAGGACATTCGGCAGCAAGCCATCGCGTCGCGACTTGAGAAGAATCCAAACGCATTCAAACCTAAAATCGGTGCCAATCCGACTATAATTGCTGCATCAGCAAATGGCCGTCGCCTGTCTGTCAGTAAGTCCATGGAAAGTCATTCTTCACGTAACGATTCATTGTCACCACCGAGTACTTTACATCTTCGACAACATTTATTAAGTGCGACTTTATTGGCCACCAAGATGCACAAACACGGATGCCACTGCAAGAAATCAGCTTGTCAGAAAAAATATTGCGAGTGTTTTCAGGCGGGAGTGCCTTGTGGAGAGAACTGCCGCTGTATTGTACGTTTAGGTCCCTACCTGTTTTGTGTGCTTTCCTCAATGACAAACTTGTGCTGTATTTCGTTTCCATTTATACAGGAATGTAAGAATCAGGCTTTGTGTACTCATACGAATGATGGTATGGCCGCAGTCTCAAATGCTGAAACAGCTTCCAACGAGCTCGAAGAGACTTTTGTATCACCAGTTCCTCAAGTCGTCCGCAAGCGGATGCGTCTTGATCGTGAAAAACGGGAAAAGGACTCTTCATCACCGTTCAAGGCATCTCTCGGACGTCATAGGGGGCACACTGAGCTCCTACTGTCTAGACTATCATCAACCAGCAGTTTCAGTAACTCTGATGATAGCTCAGTGTGTGGCCGAGTGACATTTATCCCTAAAAACTCACCAAATGCTCAATGTGGTACTAAAGGCTTTCAGAAAATGTCTCCAATTCGAGGAACTGGTGATACACATCAGGTGGGTACCAGTGGAGCTGCGCACGACTTGCTACTGTTAAAAGAACGCGATGCTTATAATGACAAAATTGGCAACATCTCCGGGAAGGCTGCATTGTCAGCCGCATTGCGATCATCGAGTAAAGCGGAACAAGTGTTCGTGCTACCATTGTTTGGATCTAATCTCATACCTGTAGAGAGCGACGTCAGCGCCAAGATTTTCGGCTTCCTCACAAATGCCGACTTGCACAATGCAAGTTTAGTTTGTCACCTTTGGAACCAAGTTGCTCTGAGTGATATTGTTTGGGACCACGCTAATTTTGTCCCTACGGAGGCAAACGTTGCTCAACACATGCGACAAAAGATGTTTATGGAGACATCTTCAGTCAAGCTGGAGTCGAGCGTTGTTGGCTCAAGATCAAGAAGGCGAATAGTATCTTTTGAGCGTGAACGAAGTCTTGCTGTGCTCTCGACCCTCAGGTAAGCATGCTAGACACGAAAGAACAATTATTATATCTAGGCAGGTAGGTAGATAAAGACAGAAATGTATTAGCCTCAGGGCAATCAAGTATGAATGAAACTGTACGCGCGAGTAAAACAAGCTCCTGAACTCTCAAGAAGTGAGTGCTGGCATTCGGCGTGGTTTGTCGAGCGAAACGTGTTGCATGCGAACTGCGCCGAGGATAACTTCCGGTAACTCTTCGTCGGACTGGGCTTCAAGTAGGAAGGCCAGATCCACTACGAGCGACTTGGTCACACCTTGTACCATGCCTACCACCGTATTGGCAACTGAGTTGGACGAAATATCAATGTCCACTTCAAAATAGTTTTCTTCTCGATAATAGAGACACTTCAGCTTGTTGCCGAGCAATGTGGGCTTTGATCCAACCGACTGCTTGATGATGAAGCTTCCTTCGGCGACTGTAGGTATAAGCTTAAAGCGTGAGTTCCGGAACTGGTCATCACCATCGATAAAGTCGTTCAGCAGCTCCGAAAAACTCGATCCATCTTCAAAAACGTTGTCACGCACAGGCTGGAAGTAGAACACCATGCAGACATTTTCTGGACTTGGAATGATCATGTTGACAACAAACGTAAATTTGGAGCTGGTGCGGCCGACACTATCAGTACGAGAAGAGACATTATACCTTTCTGCGGGACTTTCAAACGAGAGAAGATCCACACCCACAGTATGAAACATTGCAGGTGCCGACGAAATCTTTTTCTTGTCAGATAAGTAATTATGTCCACGGACACTGAAAAGCGAAGCATCAGGTTCCGCCCACATTTTTTCGGGAAGACTCGTTTCCAACTTTTGAACGCCCAGTACAGCACCCGCAGAGTCCACGCTTGTACGATGCGTGACAACAGAATCCCCCTGACCAGTTTTCGAGCCCTCCTCGTCATTAGCAGGTGCCATCGAGACATTAGGCGTAATAAAGTCCGTAGCACTCATTTCATCTCGGATTCCCACAACACTACGAAGCATCGGCATGACCAAATCCACGTCCATACCAAGTTGATGGTAAATGCGGGACCAACCTCCCGGATCGTAGCGAATCACGTACGTTACTAACGTGCGAATCGATCCACTTGGAACACGCTGGGGGGCAATAACAAAGCCGCCGCCTAGGAAGTTTGCACGCACGTAATTATGCCTCACCCGACATTCTGGATGGTCAATACTCTGGTACATGACAAAATATGATCCATCCTCTTCACGTCGCCAGTAGCGCATAAGTACAAGGTCACGCGCTTTTTGCCAGAATGGCCCCAACTGCGTCGGTCGTTGCGTCACGTAGACAATATCCGCGTGATCATCTAATTGCTGTACGACGCGCATAGTAGCCGTTGCTGCGTCCCATCGCTGGAATCGCTTGGAGTTCATAATGAGACGAAAAACTTCTGTTGGAGAACCGTGAACGACTTGTGAGACTCGCAAACTCGGAATTTCCGGCGCTTGTATCGGCATCACGGCTGCACAACATACGGCAATAGCTGCAAGTGCTGTTACGAAGCTCATGAGCATATTGTTCGAGAAGGAATACATAGTGCTGAAACTCAGTGCTGCACCTACACAGGCACTAAATATCAATCCGTTCATTGTAGCCGCATGTTGTGCGTACAGATTTGCGGCCACATTTGGTCCAAGCGGACATTCCTGCATAATTCGGAGTCCACCTTCTACTCGAGCCAACCACCATGCCTGCTCTGCCTTGACATTATCTGCATCCAAATTAAACAGTGACACAGTGTCTTCATCAGCTTTTAGCATTCTTGGAACATGCGTCGGCGTTGGAAAAATCTCGGCATCTGTCTTGAGCTTCTTTTGGTGTGCCACGAGTTCACGCAGAGAGCGCACAGCGTTTTCTAAAGCGCGCTTCCACTCCTTGGCATTCTCTTCACTCTTAGCTCCAAGATCAAGAAAACGGTCCTTTTTGTAGGATTTTTCACCACTTACACTATCGCCAACTGCAAATGTTATGCGGAACATCCACACAGGTCCATGGTGTTTATGTTTCTCTTCAGAATTAAAGACAGGACTTACAACACAACCATCAGTTAGAACATACGTTCCTCGTGGAGCAGGATCACCGCGTTTTCGATAGTAACGAAGCTGATTACCATCAAGGAGGAAGTATCGATCCACTACATATGGACACACAAATAATTAAATTCAAGTCAGATCAATTTATACTGAATTTCATATTCTAGTACTAGACGACACGCACACCAAATGAGGTTCATGTGGTCTCGACGCTTTGTTAACCAGCCCTCCATCGCGTCAGTAGCGAAATGACGATAGCAACAAGAAGTTATATCGGCGAATTGGCGACTGACGGCATATGTACGTCCGCTGGTTGGCTGGATTTTGAGCAAAAACGGACAAAAAAACACATAATTTGTGACAATGCACTTAGCAACTTGTTCGAATTTAAGCGTGGTATGAAGTTAGTAAGCTATGTAGACGATTGCTAGTCTAGATACCCATCCAGCCCGTGTACCAACGATTCTTAAACTTGTACGCACTCGTCATTTGACGATACATGAGCACAAAGCCCAGAGTACAACCGACGATGGAGAGATAACGCACAATTGGGTTGCGCAAATAAAGCGTCCACTGCGAAAGAAGAATGATAAAGATAGCAGCAGCAATGTCATATCCTCCAACAATAAGTCCTTCGTAGATAAATTGTTGGCGACCTTGCGGATGAAAGTATTGAATGTTCCCAGCACGATCGGAGGCGAATGGTGGCGGTTTACGAATAATACAATACACCATACCCGACACAGAGAGTCCATAGAACAACAATGAGACTGTCATCCACAACTGTTTGCGACGAAGTTTGGCCAGCACAAGGTCAAGATGAGCTAGCACCAGCTTGGCTATGAGTGCAGCCAAAGCCAGCGCTAAAACAAGGAACAGATAAAGCGTAGTCTTCGACCTCTGCACATAGATCTCAAAACCCGTACGTTGTTTTACAAAGAGTGCCAATGCATCGGCACTCGAACTTTGAGAGTGAACATTGTAAAAGTTCTGGGTCTCCACTTTAAATTTCTTCGGCATGACTTCACCCGCGTCAAAAGAGCGGTCGGGCGCCACGTACACGATATGAGGAGCAGAGGTATAGTCAAACCGTTTAAAGACATCCTCGTTTGCTGAATAGTCAACAACACCAAAGAAAATCTCAAGACCATCGCGCGTATCAACTTTAATTTGCTTCGCAGCTTCGTAACTTAAGCCAAGTAGTTCAAATTCAGGTAAGACCAACTTGCAGATATCACATTTGAATTTGGCACCAGACACCGTAAACAAAAGCACCAAATGATACGGACGATCTGGTCGCAAGGCATAACGTCCATAAATCTCGTTCGTAAACGAAATGACTCCATTTTTCACGTGATCTTGGAGTTGCGCCAGCTTTTCATTGCCTTTAAGCAACACTTCCTTCTTCTTGCGACTCTTTTTGGCTTCAACATTATCTCCAGACCAGCAAATAACCAGTAGCAGAGCTACAAGCAAGGATACGATACGTATAGTTCCACGTGCCATGATCACTTAATGACTTGCCACGTGGAGGATTAAAAGTGACGATCACTAAACAAGTTTAAAATGAAAATTGACATTTCCACCTATCAATAAGCTCAAAAGAAATACTTGACCTAAATATTCAAGTAGCTGTACACAATTTCCGTTTTCTCATGGTCACCCGACCGACAGATGAGAGTGCACTGTACTCAAAGGTGGTATACGTGGGTACTTCGCTTATTGTATTGGTCATTTCCGTGTATACGACTTTGTATAGATCTGTAGAGGAGTTAGAATCTGCGGTAGTTTCCACGTCTGCGCCTTTAGACTTTCAAATACTTGACGAATTAATTCAAGCCAATTCAGCAAGTCACTTACGATGGGGTACATATCGTCCGGGTCTATATTTGGGTATACGATCTCGTACGACGCCTAATTTTGTGTCGGCTGGTCTTTTATGGGGTTCACAATTAGAAGATGTATCACAACTTCGACACCAATGTCGTCAAGAAGACCATTTACAACAGTATGGCTGGTTGCAACACGATGGAAATAATTTTGGATTTCAAAAAATAGCGGATCAGTTTAATCGACTGGATTTGAATACAAGTTACGTTCGAGTTCAAACAGAAGAAATTGAAGGATGGGTTGTTCGAGTGCATACTGCTCCTTTGATACCAAAGGACGAGCGATTGAGTCGTCGAAAGATCGAAAGGAATAAGGCGTCGCTTTTTTTCTACATAGATCTGAGTTGTGAAGATGAAAGTTTAGACCTGCAGTGTCGACAAAACCTTCAAAATTTGATGGAGATTGTCATTGAACCCATGATTTTGCAGCTGAAAGGGAAAGAGGAGGAGTGTCTGCAGATGTTGCTGCAGAGTGAAGGCTATGAAAATAAAAAGTTGGAGCAAGACATGGCACCACTCACTTTTCGCATGCAAGTGCAGTTAAAGACACGCTCGAATGTGCATGGTGTAGAGCTACATTATGCTGGATTTAAAGACACGAATGTCATCAATGTTAAGGATCGACTCGTGTCGTTGGCTCGGCATCCTGGGGGTGAGGGTAGTACAGACTTGAATTCAGACAAAGAAATTTTACTTGAAAATTTCATTGAAGAGGGAAGCACTATGATTGTTGTACAAGCGATTATGGATATTGATTATGAAACGTTCCAGGAAGGCGACGTGACACTGGATGTGTTGTTTAATGAAGCCGTGTCATCCAGTGCAGCTGATATTGAAATTGGACCTATTGATTCATTTATTACTGAAAAGCTGGCTGAATCTTCACAGCAGTTTGACAGCAAGTTTGAAGATGCTTTCCATTTATCGACGAAAACATGGCCAGATGTTGATGGAGTCGAAGTTCCATTCAATCAAAGCCTTGTAGACTTTGCCAAAGCGTCTTTTAGTAACTTGATCGGAGGCACAGGCTACTTCTACGGTAGCTCGCTGGTGCAACATGATGAAAAGAAATCTGAAATTATTGAAACACCAATGAAGGCACTGTTTACAGCGGTCCCATCGCGGTCATTTTTTCCTCGTGGCTTTGTGTGGGATGAAGGCTTTCATCAAATTGGTGTTTCTGCTTTTAACAATGACATTGCTCAAGATATCATTGCTCACTGGTTTGGGCTGATGGAAACAGATGGCTACATTGCCCGTGAGCAGATCTTGGGTCAAGATGCGCGTCGTCGAGTACCTTCCGAGTTTCTAGTTCAACATGTAGAACACGCAAATCCTCCAACTTTGCTGCTTGCATTGGAAAAAATGTTGCATTGGTATGATTCTACAAAATCAATTACAGAACTGAAAGAGTTTGTGCGCGCAATTTATCCATTTCTTAAGCGTTGGTATGATTGGTTTTTAAAGACACAAGTTGGTCCACAAGATGCAAGTTTTCGCTGGCGTGGCCGTCGTGTAAGTGATGGTAAGCTGATCTCCAACACACTATCATCAGGATTGGACGATTATCCGCGTGCATCGTTTTCAAGCGACAGAGAGATGCATGTGGACTTGTTATCGTGGATGATTCGCTCGAGTGATGTCATGGCAAAGCTTGCGAACTATATCAGTGAAGAAAGTGATTCTCAGCTGTTCATAAAAAATAGTGCTCACTTTTTCACTGGACTTGATCAGCATCATTGGAACGAGACTGCTCAGTCGTATTTCGACGTTGGAGAGCACAGTGAAGATGGTTTAATTGAGTACCAGGTTGCTATACGTTGTCGCAATGATCGGGGTCAAGTGATCGATGCTACAGCTCCATTTCAGCAAATCGAGACTAAAGATGTTGAATGTCCAAGTAGTCACCCTTTCTTTCTATTTCCACTGGGTGACGGACGCGGTGGCTTGCAAATGCTACCTGTGTTTGTTCCAGGCACAACGAAGCTGCAACACGTTAAACACGTTGGTTATGTTAGTGTCTTTCCTCTTTTGTTAAAAGTTCTTCCGCCGGATTCACCAAAATTACTTGTATTGCTGAATCAAATGACGGATCCGACACATTTGTGGTCACCGTTTGGATTGCGGTCATTGTCGACAAAAAATCAATTTTACGAGCAAGAGAACGCTCCCGGTGACAATCCGTATTGGCGTGGAGCTATTTGGATGAATATCAATTACTTGGCTTTAGATGCACTGCATTATTATGCCCAGCCGAGTACGGGGAGTCCGTTTCAAGCTCAGTTTGCATCAGCGTATACTGCACTTCGAGCAAACGTGATTGCCAATGTATACCGTGAGTACGAGCGTACTGGATTCTTGTGGGAGCAGTATAATGGTGATATTAATGCTGGACATCGATACGGTCAGGGACAGCGGTGTCATCCCTTTTCGGGCTGGACAGCACTCGTGGTGAACATAATGGCAGAACTTTACTAACAAACTGTTGAATAGTTAATACAGATTCAAATCAGGGTACTCCATTGTGTATCAATTATGTCAGACTTGATATATAGAAATGATAAAATATTAGACTAAATTTATAGAAATTATTGGTAAGGGATTCCCTTCGTGCTCAGCAACGAATTCATTTCGAAGGCTTTTTGTATATTCCTATTTTCCCAGCAAGTTCTTTTGATGTTGAGGGAATTAGGATACTTTAAATAATTTAACGTAAACAAGTTGTTGCTAAATCGTCTGCTTTTACGATTAAAGACGGATGAGTTTACAAATTGAAGACGCAAACGTCAAAACTTATTAATAAACAAGCTTACAAATATTCGAAAGATATGAAATTTGTTCTGTTCGTTATAGGCAGTCCTGATTTCAAAACGGGATATATTTGACAAGCCTTTCTGCGCCAGCTCTAGGAACAATGGTGCGGCAGAAGAGTCATAGTTGAGACACTTAAGCTCAAGTCAAAGTCGAATTCGTTCTGTTAGCGACTTTGTATCGTTGTAGCCAAAAGTTATTTAGTTAGTATACACAAATCAAATTAAATCGTCATTGCAATATTGTTGGAAACTTTCATCTTAATTGACCAACAACTTTGTTTTGTAGAGTTATTATAATGTATTTGTAGAACAACGAGCACAATCAAATCGAAATATCAAATTCGATTTGTCATATTAAACAAGATAGTTGGCTGGATAAGACATTGGGTCCCACTCATTTGTTTCATAGATTCTTGGTGTTGGTCGAACAAAACGTCTTGTGTACTTTGGAGTATTAATTGAACTAGTTGCGTCGAATGCTATTCGTGCATTCAAACTGGCTAGCACAAACGCAATGAGAATACAATGGTAAGACGTACCGTGTTTCCAATTCAGCGCAAGCTCTTTCACGTAGTCGCGATCAAAGTACGTACTGCTATAAAACCACCATGTCAATATCGCTAAGAATCCAAACAATGCACTGACAAAGCTGAAAAGTGCTTTGAAGTTGAATGAAATTGATGTCGACGAAATTACAAGATTTACGGTTGCGAAAAGACCCCACAGTGCTAAAGTATACTTGACTGTTTCCAAGACCACAAGACACGCCAAATTTGTTGCCCCTTGCATATACCATGTGAGGCTACCGCGTGTGTGGCACCAGCAGGATAGAGCTTGATTGATCACATTGTCACTTTCAAGTGTCAATGAAGGCGATTCAAAAGGATCGGGGCCTTGATCAGACCAATCGTCCGTTTGTCGTGAATTATCCAAAATGGCATGTAAAAAAGGTTGACACGTCGAACTTCCATTGATATTGCGGAAACAGTAGCGATCGGGTGCGAATACAAGTCTGGTGATAAAATTATTATCTTTTGCTATCGAAGTGTCAATGTTTGTGAATTCAATGATGGTCCAAGAGTGCAATTGCACTGCAACAAGAATTAGAATGAGAATTGTGAACTGTGATATGAATTGGATGATCCTCACGCTTTGTAGCATGATTACAGACTCAACTGATGAAAAAAATGGAGACGAATGCAGCAATAATCGATAATGCTATAGCTAACTATTGTGTAGCCATATTCCGCGTATCAAGACGCGAGCCAATACGCATCGAGGACGAAATATTGAGTTTTTTTACGTGGCCTACGTAAAATATCATTTGTGTAATCGACAGTCTTATATAGGATCAAGCAATTGATTAAATGAGGGTAAATATGTCACAGCTATCTCTAAAATGTAATAAGATTCTACACTTCAACTTTGTGATACTGCCCATTTCTAAATTTTCTGCCAAAGCATCATATCATGACATTAAAGTTGTTATCAAGCTGTGACTTTGCTTGCTTAGCAATCTTTGATCCAGTCTGTGCTTCAAATGGTGAGACTTTTAGTAACGCGTGCGAATTTGAACAAACAAGATGTACATCGCAAAATGATACATTGGTCATTGTCTCACAAGGAGCATGCAATAATGAAGATAGTAACGAAGACAGTATTGATGAAATGGAAGCTTTATGTATGGAAAAGTTTGATTGTCTTGACGTGTACGTGCCAGTATGTGGATCAGATGGAAGAACATACAGCAATAAGTGTTCGCTCGAGAAAATTCAATGTTACACTCCGTCGCTAATCCTCATTTCAAACGAAGAGTGCAATAACGATACTGCTGGCAGTAGATTGAATGCTACAAGTGATCAAGACACGGTGCAATTCATCGGTTCAATGTCCAGTTCGGACAATTGTATCGAGAGCGTTTGTACCAAAGAATTTCATCCGCTCTGTGGCTCGGATGGCGTCATGTACAACAATGACTGTCTTTTTGAAAATGCCCAATGTATGAATTCATCGCTCTCGCTTGCGTTTGAAACCAAGTGCAAGACTGCGTCAGGATCCCTCGCATCGATCTTAGAACCAGAAGAGATTTTAGATCCATCCAAGAACTCGGAATCGACTTTGTCCGACACGAGCAATGCTAACACCTCGCGCAAAAGCTGTGTTTTCTTATTGCTCATGGTTGTGTTACTAGAGATTCTGTCATAAGATGTTTCATATTGTACCAATGTCTCAGAATGCGTTTTTCAGTCTGTCCTTGAGCTTGTACAGTCGCGTCGGTTCAAGATCATCTAAAAGTCGCTATCTCAAAAGCGTATATGTCGTCGCAAAAGCCTCGTTACGATTCTGTATGGGCTTCTGACTCGTCTGAGACCCTTTTTGGAGACAGCTTTACCGATGACGACAGCTTGGCGCGAAGAAAACAAGCTTTAAAGACTCAAGAAGAGGATCAGACACTTTTGCATCGTACTGTCGTAGCTTCTAAACGACAAAATCTTGAGGTGCAATTTGAACGAGTATGTTGTATCTTGTCGTGGGGTCATGACATGACTTTTTAACAAAGTGAAAATGTGCTAATAGGTTGCCAAGCAACGTGCTTTTATTCGCCGTGAAAAGCGAAGATTGTTGCTAATGCACGCTTTGCTATCTTCCGAGCGTGAACGTTTTGAAGCTTTCCGTTCGTCTGACTGGTTCTGTCTTGCATCCTTTCCTGCACCTAATGACCGTCGCGTGACTATTGATATTGGTGGTCAACTCTTTGAACTCTCGGCAGCAGTGGCGTTAAAAGACTCTGCGTCGTTACTCGCTGCTTTCGTTCAAGACGATTCGCCGCTATGTGCTGATGAAAGTGGCTGCTTTCGCGTCGATAGAGATTGGAGACTCTTTCGCCATATTTTGCGCTTCTTGCGAGATGGTATTTTGCCATCCGACCCAAAGTTGTTACGTGACTTGTACGTAGAGAGCGAGTTCTGGCGGTTTGAGTCGCTGTTGAAGGCGATTGAGATCAAGAATTTAGAGCTGTGGCAGCTAAAGCAAAGTAGAGACTTAAAAGCTGCAGCTGGTGAATCAGTGGAAAAGGATTCAAGCGCGTGGTGGATGGATCCTCCAGCATGGTGGGGAAAAGCTTCACGTGGTACGCAGGTGATGAACGAAAATCAAACAAAAGTAAAGAAGAAAAAGACAGAGTTGGTGGACAAATCAAAGACGGACAAGATAAGCAAGGATGATTATAACAAAAGTGAAGCGTGGTGGAACGACTGCACTTACAAAGGCATTCATTATGCGGACAATCTTGATAAAGCTAAGAACGGAAGTGACGAGAAAACAAGCCATCGTCATCCACTTGTTTCGAATGATACGTGGCCAGCGCAATAAATGTCGGCACTTGATATGTCTATTCGTTTTGTTTGTAGGATAGGAATTCGAGAGCCAGCTTTTCAAAGTGTGAATATGAGCATCTTGAATCCTGCTGCTGACCTGCGAATTTCACAATTTTATCCTCATACCGTGGTGTGATGAAGTACTCGTGTGTTGTCATGTCATCATATACCTCAAATGCTAGCGTTGTGCCATACTCGGGCAGTTGTGACCCCACGTCAATCTGTAGAGCACCCAGAAGCGCCACAATCGAATTGTCATGAGCTGAAAAGAAGGATAGTTTTGCAGGTTGCTTGCCTTCCACTATCGATTTGATAAATGTATAGACCTCCTTCACACCATCTTTAAAAGCTTGAAAGCAAAAATCTTTGCGATGGTACAAACGTTGCCAAAGCCACGTATCGTAAGCTTCAACTTGTTTAAAAATCTCGTAGTCTACACCCTCAGGGTAAGGCCAATCGTGGGCTCCACGGCACGTTAATGCGTCTCGTACTGCTGTCCAAGAAAGTGGCTGATCGCTTGGTACTTCTAAACACTTTCGTAAATGTAAACTGAGCTTCTCGGTAGTATCACGTTCAATGTCACTTCTAAACGCTACAACATCGTCATGTACTATGATTTCAATCTCATGAAATACTTGCAATGGATGCATAGGTGCCAGGACATTGTGCTTGTATGTGCGCACAAGAAATTGTGGGACATCTTTTGACTGGTGATAATCGTTATAAAAGAATCCTCGCAATAAACATTGGACTGACTCAATAGTACGGGGAACATTACTTGACAATACATAAACGTCCTCGATCTTAACGTCTTCGGTCAATAATTGTCCATATCGCTGGCGCAGAGCTCGTCCTTTCGTTATCATATGCTTAACACCTTTTTGAGTCAATAATCCATAAGGAAACTCTGACTCCTTTGACGGATTGATCACTGGAGGCTGCAACTCATCAGCACCTACAACTTTTGCAGTCTGTTGCAATAACTCAAGCTGCTCTGGTGTCGCTACTTTTGAAGCCCAATATTCTTTTTCCTCGGGTGTTACCATTAACTTGGTACCTATTGACGTAAGCACAGGCGTACGATCTCCATGACGATGAAAGACAAGAACATGACGTAAAGCTACGTTGTGGTTAGACAAAGAAGATGTAGACATGAGTTACGAGATTGCTGGAAGATTGCTAAGTATTTATTTAGTTAATGTAATAATTATTTATTGATTACTTATGTGGTAAGAAAATGAAAATTACAGTGCAGCATTCGACTGTGGCACTTGCATTTGTAAGAATCTTTGAGCTGCTTGTTGAAAGACTAGAAATGGACAAAGAGTTGAGTGTTCATGGTCTGCAAAAGTCACTTCGACTCCTTCATAAAGTGTCTTGAAGTAGAACTCGCCAGTGTGACAATGTTGATAGATTTCGAACGTCAGCATAGCACCATACGAAGGAATAACGCGTGGAATCTGAAGCTGCAATGCATTTCCAAACGCCACAAGCGAATTATCATGTGCTGAAAATAACGACAATTTGTGTTTTGTAGCGCCCTGTCACAAGAATCGACTGCGTAAGGGATTTTCTGCTCATCCTGCTCCACGAAGTACGTACCT